CCTACAAAGAATGATAAAAGTAATGTAAAACCAAATAAAATTGTTCCAATAAAATATAAAAGACTACAATTCATGACTAAAAAGCCATGTATAATTGTATGAAATTTAGGCTCATCAATCAGTAACATGAATCCTCCGTTGAACAAATCAACAGAGATTTCACCTTCAAATAATGTTTGAGTGATTCTGTTGAAGTGGCTTTGTATAGTTATATATTCATGTGTGAAAGAATTTATGGTTAGAGCATATATGATGTTTTTGTTTAGACATTATATACCAGTCACAATCAAATTTCTATCTTAATGTTGGATTCAGAAGCATCACATCGATGTTTTGAGCTTTATTTACATAAGCATTTTAGTTACTTCAGTAATGTGATTTTAATTATCTGTTTATGAGAAAGTACATACTAAGTATACGTCATCATCAGTTTTTGATCATTACATTCTGCATTTGATTTAATCATATTTATACGCACATTCCATGTTAAAAAACATGTTAATAATCTCATCAAGTGTGGGTAGATGTAAAGTATATAGGAAACGCATTCTGCTTGCAAAATCACATTAGTTTTTGTCATTTTCTTACTGCCATAGAAGTCAATCCCCTCCTTGAAATGCACTCAAGTTGAAGAAAAGCCTATTTTTAACATTAATATCATCAATTTCTACATTACACAGTAGGGTATACAATGAAACTTGATACGAGGGCCAACTAGAAAGAATTGCAAGATGGGTAGGTTTCTGATCTCTTTTGGACCAATTTATGCCCAATTGATGAAGTCATATTTTTAGTTCAACGACAAGCAAGATAGATATTGATCTAGGGATTAGTTGAAGAAATTATGATTTCCTTTAGACTTGTGAAAGGAAATCTGGTGTTTAAACCCATCCAGAAAAGCTCTTCTTTGCTCCCTTCCTCGAGGAAATAAATAAGGTATTTGGAAAGCAAATTAGTAGCTGGGATCTTGGGAAGTTGAGCTAACTAGGTTCAGGAAGGTCGAGCAACTCTTATCTTTTGAGCCTTCTATCTCTGCATCTCACATCTATGAAAAGGCTCGTGAGATTGACCAACAATGCCTAAGCAAACTACAAACTGATCCTTTCATTTGGCATAGACTTGTGATTAACCATGGCTTATCATTGTCTTCAATTCTTTGTTTTATCACTTTTGCTGGCCACTTTGTTTTCAATGAACAGAAACAGTTTCTTGATTGAGGGATCATAGTCTTCTGGAGACAATTGTACCAGAGATTGCTACATCGCCTCAGGTTGAATTGCTGCCATTGCCTGTAATTCCAAATTTGCCAAAACCTGAAGTACCAGAGGTGCTAAAGCCCGAAGTCCCTAAACTACCAGAGATACCAAAACCTCAAGTGCCTGAGCTACCAAAGCTTGAACTCCCCAAGTTACCTGAGTTGCCAAACTAGAATTGCCCAAGCTGCCTGAGATTTCAAAGTTAGAGGTGCTCGAACTACCAAAACTTGAAGTGCTTGAGAAGGATTACATAAAAAGAGGGATTACATTGATCTTCTTCGCTGCATCAGCTATTCATGGGGAACTGAGGAAAAAAAAAAAAAAAAGGGTCCGCCAGGCCTAGTAATGGGCTGCAAAATTGGTTCATTATTTTTA